AATGTCCTGTTATCATGAAAGCAACAAAACATTAATTAGGACATCAGTTATAACATTAATTATATCATTAATATAACATTAATTATAAAATTACTTTTGAGAGAAACATTTTTGCCCTTCAAAACATACAGACAGGATTAGGCACGTAGGCACGTTTCAAGAAAGCAGGTACAATAAAACGAAAAAGCAGAAGTTGAAAAAATTCTCAAACTTTTATCTTCATACTACTAACATCAAAAAATTAAATAATAAATTAATGATTAATACAATTGAAAATGAAGAACATCTGAATGATTGGAATTATGACGGGAGACAAGTTTCGATTTACAATTAATCAGAAAACTATTTTTTTTATGTTTTACTTTCACGGTACTATTAAATATAAAGCAAATTTGTACATGATATATTATGTAAAAATCTTTTTAGAGATAGATTAATTTATTTTTAGAAGGAATAAATTTTCCATGTTAATAATTGCAAATAATTCTAAACGTAGCAGACCTGTTTTCGGACGAGTCATTTATCAAATGCTAGAAGCAGCAGAAGAAAATTTGAAAGAAATGACGTCACATTTATTATTATTATTATTTATTTATTTTTATTATTTATTATTTTCACAAACTTTCTGATCAATAATCTCTCCAAAAAATGTATATTTTCTTTGAAAGAGTCATTGGTTCACGTTAATTTTTCATTGTCTGACGTAAGAGTGCAACTGCTTGTGGTGAATTAATTGGGGCATTTGTGGTGAATTAAGAATGGGTGAATGACTGGATTTGGGGTTTTTCTGGTGAATTTATAATGGGTGGATGACTGAATTTGGGGCTTTAGTGGTGAATTTATAATGGGTGGATGACTGAATTTAGAGCATTGAAACTTTCATAAATTTTTACCTCTTTTTTGATTGATTAATGTGAAAAAATAAAAAAATTCTAGATAGATTTGATTGCAAATTTATGTTATAGCCTTTGTCGCGCCTCTGTCGTTAGATAAATACTTTATCATCATTATTATCATTTTTCAAATTTCAAAATCATCATCTTATCGCCATTATCACAGTCATCATCATCATTACCACCACTACCACCACCATCATCACCATCATCACCATTATCACTATCATCATTATCGTCATCATCATCACCATTATCATCATCATCGCCGTCATCACCATCATTATCATCACCACCATCATCATCATCGTCGTCGTCATCACCATCATATTCTTGTTTTTGAATTTTATTTGTAATCATAATCAACATCACCATAAACGTCAATGATTTATGGAGACTATTATTCAGTGGTGAATTTTTATTGGCTCGTACATGCATCTGGCTTGCATTTTTATGTATCTTTTGTATTGGTTCCATTCAATTGTATCTATTTGTATTCGTTTGTATTCATTTGTGTAATCTTTTCGCTATTATTCAACTGATTTTTTGCTGCACACGAATCGAAATGATATATATATTTTTTTACACTTACATCTCTAAATTTTCTAAATCTTTTTTCTTCAATTTTCAGTTTCAGCCCCATGATTATATAGTGACCTTTGACCTTTATATAGTGACCTTTGACCTTTCCTAGTAAATTCAATTTGAAACTCAGATTAACGTTGATGATGCGATAATAATGACGATGAGGGAATGATGATGAAGTTGAAGAGTGTATAAATGACGATAAAATGGAGTAACTAGGGTGATGAAATAACACGATGAAGAAGTAATTATAAAATCATCCAATTTCATTTGAATTGATTTGATAATTGCTTTGAAATTTGAAACAAAATGGTAAAGAGAAACAGAAACTAAAAAGCATTTGGTTTAACATTTTAAAATTCAAACACACACACGTGTTTTTAAATAAACCGATATAAAACGAAAAACAAAATTCAGATCACCTATCATACGTACGGACAGATATCTCCATTTCTTCTTGTTACTTTTATTTGTGAAATAATTTTTTATTTAAAAATATTGTTTGACTGAAATTTGAAAACCTGCACCAAAGAATAAATAGCATTTAAATTAACAAATTTTGTTTTTTTATGATTTCGTTGTTGCGGTATTATTTGTCGTTGTGTTGTTTCTGGCTTTATTTTTAATAACATGTCCAAAGTTATGTAGAGAAAACTGTGCCACTGCAAGATTTGAATTTCTCTCTCTCTCTCTCTCTCTCTCTCTCTCTCTCTCTCTCTCTTTCTCTCTTTCTCTCTTTTTCTCTCTCAAAGTTTTCATTTTTAGATGTTCACTCCAACATATTTAACAAAAAGATGGAGGTTTTTGTAAAAATTTTATTTTCAAAATTGCCTTTTTTGAAAAGGTTTCTCAAAGCAATAAAACGCTTTTTCTAGCGTCTCTAAATCAGTGAAGTAGTGTAAATAAGTGCTTTCGTTCGAGGAATCAAGGCGTGTATTTTTACCGAACTATTTCAAATTGGTATGCAAACATCAAGGGCAGAATGGAGAATTCACATTTATGCCTCGAGGAACAAACATTCCTACACCTCATCATGTGATGACAGCAAAAAAAATTAGATAAAAAGAATGAAACCAAAGCAACGAGACATCTAAGGGTTTTAACTTAATAAAAATAGAACCTGTATTTACATGTATGTATTTGTATATATGTGTGTGTGTGTGTGTGTGTGTGTGTGTGTGTGTGTGTGTGTGTGTGTAGGGTATGTTAATTGAAATTAATATTCAGTGCGTGTGTAACAATTATTTGGCCTGATTATCCGGACAGTTCGCGATATTGTGTTTTATTGTGAGTATAACAAATAACCAGAGCTACGCGTTTAAGTAAATAAGTAATTGCTTTATTGGACCGGCGCACGGAGTGTCATCTTACTTTTTAAAGAATTCTCCACTTTCTTTGTTCATTCATATTCTCCGCCATTTCCTAATAACTTTTCTTTTTTTAATCGTCATAGCCTCCATTATCTTTGTTGGACACTATACGTTATGTATGTTACATGCATGCACGTAAGCTCTTACATTATTCACACAAACATATACACACAAGCGCACACACGCACACACACTTGTATACATACATGTGCACGCACAAACGGAAAATAAACCTGCAAAGCGCACACAGATGAATGCATTAAAACCAAATCCATTCCAAAGGCACAACCATGTCCATTTACATAACATTAACCAAGCATCACGCCAAAACAACAAAGTTAACGAACAACAACTCTCCTTAGCTTATCCACACATACATTTCATCACATATAAACACCAAAAACACACTTGTAAACCTGAACACCACACACATATGAGACACACACTCCATTACGTAAATACAAAAACAATAAAAGGCATATAAACAAAAACATTGCTCATCACACACACACACCACACACGCACGCGCACACACAGACAGGCAAAAAATTACAAGTCTGCCAGGAGTATAAATAAGGCAGCATTTGAACGAAAAAGAACTGAACGATAAGGCCATGATGACGTTTACACCGAGCTCAATAAATATGTGCATTAATGTATAAACACCATGCATTGTTTGTTTTTTAATACTTATATGTATATATTTATGTGTGAGTGTGTTTGTGTGTCTGTTTTTGTATATGTGTATGTATGTTTATCTACACGCGAATATATGGTTATGATAGAAAAGAAAGAAAGCCGAAGTGAATAGAGATTATCCGGATAGAGGTAATTGATTGCTAGTGTAAAGAAAATGGTTTCATTTTTGAATGATGTCTACAAGTTAAAAAAAAATTGAAAATTGGTTATCTTTATTTGTAAAAAACAACAATGAAAATTAAAATTGTCATATGTTCTTAAAAGAATACAATGTCAGGGCGTTAATTTCATTTTAACTAGCGCTGACAACATACTTTCTTCATTTGATACAACTGTTTTACAGACAAAATATTATTTTTTTAATTAAAAATAAGAAAAAACATTAAAACAACGGATTTCGAGTATTACTTGAATTGTAAATTAAAAAATAAATAATTAATTAAATGGTCGGAAAGAATATTTGTAACTCGTTACTAACCATTTCTAACAAAAACTAAAAAGGACGAGAGAGAAAGAAGTTAATGAAACTGTGAAAGAAAAACGGAAAAGAGAGAGAGAGAAAAAAAGAAAAAAAGAGAGGGAGAAAGAGAAAGAGGAAGAACGAGAGAAGAAACGTAAGCGAATGATAGAAAGATAAATAAAGCGTAACGTTTTTAGCTCTCAAAAGATTTATAACGAATTTTCAATATTGTTATTAATTTTTAAAAGAACCCTGGTCTAGAATGAAATAAAGTATTATTTGTAATAAATATATCATTTTTTTGAAGAGGAATAGAGAGATAGAGAGAGACAGAGAGAAAGAGAGAGAGGAAAAGAGAGAGAGAGAAATGAAATTTTTTTGACAACATCCTGAAAAATCAATCAAATAATAACCACGTACACTTACGTTGAAAGAATTGTTAATTAACATTCATTTTGTTCTTTCCGCCTTTTTAGATTTTGTTCCATCTTTGCAGAATACATTTTTTATTAATTAATTATTTTTCAATATAGTTTTTTTTCGCTATCTATCACATTCCTTCCCGATTGAAACGTCTCTTTCTTTGTTGTTTGAGAATTCTTTCTACAAAAAATGTTGGCGATTTTTAAAGAGATCCCAAAATATTGCACGCAAAGTATGCCTCCTGGCATTCGACATTCCGACATCTCTTAGCGTTTGAATCCAGGCACTGCAGTAGCAGTGCCTGAAATCTTAAGTGTTCCGTTATGACAATGTTTCATCATTAACGAACACTAGAAAAGTTTTTAATTTGAATCATTTCGATTAGTTATCGTATTGCAGTTTTTGATTAGTTTCACAAAAATAAGACACTTTATTAAAGCAACAATAAACTATAAAAGTCCTTTAGTTGATCGAGAGATTTAATTTCAAGAAATAACACAACGTCAGTGTAATGAAATGTTAACGTTCCAATGAACTTTTTCATTCCAGGGAAATGTTTACGTACGTGAAATGAAAAGCTCAGTTTCGTCCGATCCATCATCGTCATTCTCATCATCCTATTCCATCTCCTCTTCCTCATCGTCGTCATCGTCTTCATCATCGTCATCAAAAGATCATCACATCAACATTGAAACTGTTTCGATGTTTTATTCCGGATCTATCAGACATGACGTCACAAGTCAGATGAACAAATACAACAACAACAACAACAACAACAACACAATAAGCAACACAACAAACAATAACACAACAACAAACAACAATAACAACGACAAGATGAAATACTACAATATTGCATTAAGAGACATCGATATAAGTTACGAAATACTAAAAATCACCAATATAACTGGCAATAAAATTTTTATGACTGGCAGCAACAATGAGGACAACAACAAAAACATCAACAACTATATCAACAACAACAACAACCACATTAGCAAAGATATTCACAACAACAACCACAACAACAACAACAACATCAACAAAGATATTCACAACAACAACCACAACAACAACAACACCATTCACGTCACTTCACCTCACGATGATATCAACAACAATTACCCTGACAGTATGGGCAAGAATGACAAAGGCGTTGAAGCGCAACGACATAATGTCAACAATGTCCATAAGTTAAAATCTATTCTCGTCATCAAGATTGTAAGTTCATCGCTCAATGGCAAAACAATTTTTCTAATTTTTTTATTTATAAACACACATAGACAGACGGACCAAACCCACCCATCCACACACACACACACACGCACACACACACACACAAACACACACACGCTACATGCACCACACGCACTACACGCACACACTCACATTTGTACACAAACAGGCAAACACAATTTACACACACATTGTGTGTGTAACACTAACAAGCAAACGCAATCACATGCACAAAAAAACACACACACACAAACAGCCAAAATCTCACACACACACACACACTCACACTGATTCACACACAATAAATACTATACAATCCATACATAAATTTGTTTTTTTTTTAAATACAATCTTTAATTTTATTTGTTAATATGTGAATTTATAGGTAAGACATTTTTGAATATTTTAAATCAAATTTTTTAGGATCAATTATTACTTAAATGGAATTAATTCACTTAGATTTGTCTAAATTAACAAGAGAAATTTAAATGAAAAATTTAAAAATATCAATTTACTGACTTGAGGAAGGAATAAAGTTTTAACTTTGTCATTCAATTATCTTTTTCTTTTGTAGTTTTTTGACGTTTCAATTTATACCGTCAAGTCATTTTATAAGTAATGACCAAAAAAAAGGTTGTTAAGATAAATTTTTCAAAGCGTGATGGCCAAGTGGTTAAGGTCTTCTGGTTCTCTTTTGCAGTAATCGTGTTCAAATACGGCGAAAGGATCCCCGCCAATCACATTCATTGTGGGTGATATGTTGCTTAGCCAGGGATGGGCAAACTACAAAGCTATTTTATTGGCCCGCAGGGCCTTTTTTTGCCAAAAAAAATTGTCAGCCAGACATTATGACCAAAAAAGGAACTACAATACTTAAAAAAATTTTTCCCCGGGTCGAAAAAATTTGCTATTTAAGTACATATGCGGTCCTTCAAAGGTAAAAAAGTTCTCAAGGCGGCCCTCACAGCAAAAAGTTTGCCCACCCCTGGTCTAGGCTGTATCATTGATATACGCAATTTGGGTGTAGTTGATTCCTATAAATTTAGGAAAGGTGTAACAGACCTTTAATTTTGTCATTCTAATCATATTTCTCATTTAGTACCAATCAACTTTTGTATTAAACAATGGAATAGCTTTTAATTGTTCAAATGTAATTTAATAAACAGGTTTTTTTAATTTAAAACATCGGATGACATTTTGAAAATTTAATAAAAATTTAATAATTTTTTTCTGGGTGATGAAACTTTAGGCTCAGTCTTACATGCAATCGAATCTAATTCGATTTAATTACTTGTCCGTCATTTTATCTGCTCACACCGCACACGAACGCACACACACAGACACATACACACTACCAACCAAACGTACACACATACAAACACACACACAAGCTCCACTTTTTGTTTAACCTTTCTCTCTCAATGTTCTTTTACCTTTCATGTAACATCTTTCTTTCCATCTATTTTTCCATTTCTTTTCACTTCTTTCATCTTTATTTTCTCTTTTCTTTCTTTCTCTTTTTCTCTCTTTTTTATTTTGAATTTTTTCAATTCATCTTCTTCCTTCCCTAATTTTTTCTTGCCTTTGATTATAAAGGCACTCGCCGTTTTTTTCTAACACTCCATATTTGATGATCCACGTCAATCTTTTCTTCCGTTTTCATGTTTGCTGTCGCACCAAAAACACAAAAATGATTTTTTTGAATTTTTAAATTTCCACGCACACACATTTTTGAAACTTTTTCACACACACACACATCACGGTAAGATTTTTAAGATTTTTTATATTATTCCAAAGTTTCCAAGTTCTCTAACGTAATTAATAATATATGTGCAACAGTACACCACACACACACGCGCGCGCGCGCACACCACACACACACACACACACACAAGCTAATTTAATGACACAAACACTTCGAACTGTCAATCAACTTCTCAAATGAATTTGCACGTTCCATCTAAAATTCGCCATGTAATTTTTTTTATTTTTTTACAAATGCAAATAAATGTTTTCCAAGTCTACAAAAATATGCAATTTTTTTCATCCAAAGAAACACTCACTCACTGTTGATATTAAAATATTTAGATAAACGCAAACGCGTACATATTTTTTCACTTTCACACTTTCTCTCTCTCTCTCTCTTTCTCTCTCTCTCTCTTTCTCTCTCTTTCTCTCTCTCTCTTTCTTCTTCTTCACATATATAAATGAAAACATATAAATACGTATACTTGTATATTAAAGAATTTAAATAAACGTACAAATGTTTACATATTTTTTCACTCTCTCTCTCTCTCTCTTTCACACTTTCTTTCTCTCTCTTTCTCTTTCTTCCTCTTCACATATATAAATGAATACTTATATAAATTCGCATACTTGTATATGCAAACAAACATGTGCTGTACACACGTGTTATGTGTACGTACGAATCGAAACTAATATACCCACAAATACACACATATATAGAAACACACACACACACTTACAAACAAACAAACAAACAAACAAATACAAAGTAAACACATAGACTTGAACATTGTTGGAGTATATATACATATATAGACCGTAGAGACAAGGTATTTATTATTTATTTGGAATCCAACCGACAGGATGTTAGCGGTCATGCAAGCAGTAACGAAGAACAAATGAACTATATGAAGCGCGGCAAAACCAATTACAACAACAACAATAATAACAACAACAACAACAATAATAATAACAACAATAACAATAATAATAATAATACTCAGTCAAAAACTGCAATCACCACCACGGTCGTCTTCGTCGCAATCATCATCATCGTCTCCATCTTCCTGCTCCCATTCTCTGCAGCCTTCTTATTGGTCACCAGGAAAGTATGTCAAGGTCGAAAATCTGGGTCAACCATCTCGAAGGAGATCGACAATATAGGTCTGGTTATTGCTCTGTTTTATTAGGTCATTTATTCCGATTTGACGCGTGTAATCGAATAAATTCGTTCATTCATTACATCAAATCGAATATAAATAAATATATGAATTAATATATGAACTAATCTGGGGTTCATACACATACATAAATACATATATATATATTCAGGTATATAATTTCATGTGAATATATAATATTTTTTTACTTTGTTTGATTAGATAGGTATACGTAGATATATTTAAGTAAATGCTTGTCAAATTTTTCATTTAATTACTTATTAATTATTATTTTTTTATTTAAACGAAAAATAAAATAATGCATGGATGTCGTTTGCCATCTGTTGAGAAACCTAGAAATATAATGTTAGTTGTTAATTCTGACTTCTCATAAAGAACCTCAGGCCGATTGCTTTTTGGTAACTTATAAAAATGATACCGTTGAGAAAACAGAAATAAAGTCATTCATTCAAATTAAATAAACCGGCATGTGAATTAGAAACATTGATTTCAATATTTTCGTCAGTGCCATGTTACTATCATACAAATGTTACTCTATTACTCTCATACAAATGTTACTTCGCTACTTTCATTACAACTACCTATTTTTATCTTGGCTGAGTTGCAGTTGCAACAATTCTTAGTAGCAGGGCATGTTGTTGGTTCGTTACAATTTCACTCAACATATGATTAGCTGCTGTTGCATTTGCGTGTTGGTAAAAAATTTAATATAATTTAGTTGTATTATTTGAAATTGAATTTGTCTAGAAAACTAATAAAGTAAAATTGAAAAATTCTGAAGGCATTAGCATCAATAAAAAATTTATTTTGTTCCAAAAGTTAGATGAAATATTTAAAAAGTTCATTAGTATTCTTTCACAAGCGTTGATAAAAAAATTGTCCTTTTTTGTCATATTTTGAAACAAGTTTTTCAGAACAGTTTGCATACTGGCGTGACTAGAAACACTTCATTTCTCACAAAAAAACAGTGCATGTAAATCCAACTGATGCCTTTTGAAGAACTCAAAATTTAAACAAACCAATCCAATCACCTCTACAATTCCTATAACTAGCATCTAAACTTTTTAATGAAAGAAACGCAAAATTGAAATTGTTTAAAATGATGAAGTTTTTTTTTTCACAAATTGTTTCTACTCAGCAGTCCATTGCGTTTTTACCTAACTTGCTGCGTGGCGACCAGGTTAAAGTGCAAGTAGAGGTTTGACGATCTCAGTCTCGAATTTTTGAGTTCCTGATTTTCAATTTTTTGTTGTTGTCTTAGTAGTTTTCTGAAATAATGAAACTTTGCGGCTCTCTCACTTATATCATAGCTCTTTTGCAGACGCGCAAATAAAAAATTTAGTTATAAATTTAATTTTTAAGGCATTTTGTTGCATCCGTAGTTGCTATAACGCATTGTTGAGACATGCAACGAACGTATATAGACAAACATTGCTAATTGACGTATGCACTTTAATATCAGGTCGAGTTTATTGCATTCTTATCTATGTGTGTGTGTGTTTGTGTATGATTGTTGCTGATACGTGTGCGTGTGTTTGTCTATAAGTTTGCGTGAGGGTGTGTGTGTATTTGTTTATAAGTATGCGTGTTTTTAGTTGTGTCCTTGTGTGCTGATATGTAATTTTTACATTTCTGCTGCATGTATGAACGTTTTGTTTTGTTCATGAGATCCAGTCAGGTGCGAAACATAATTTTTATAATTTTGATTCTAACAATTTTTGAAAACATTAAATATTAACAAACTGGCATTATTCTGAGCACGGCAATGACCACACGTATTGAATGTGACATATATTGACATGCCATACCCAACAAACACAACAACCTCCATTGTTTATATTCACTGCACGTGTTGCAAGCCCGCCAAACGTTCAAATTTAGCAATAATTTAAAATGGATTAAAGTCTCAAGGGCTTTGTTCGAAGCAGGTCGCTTGCCGGTGGCGGTGTTAGTGAGATTGTTGTGAAATGTGCGAAAGTTTAAGCATACGAACTTAGCTAGTTATATTTAAACTGCTTCAAATTAGTCCTTATGTCAGCTGTTGGTTTCAATCTTCGATATAAGATAAGGTAAGTAGTAACTTTAAGATGATGAACTAGTCTGGTTTAAATGTTTGATTGAGTATAAGAAAGGATAAAAACGGATTCATGTTTACATGTTTGGAAATTTTTTAGGTTTAAACTTTTATAAAATATTTAAGAAAATAAAATATTTAAGAAAGTAAAGTATTTTTATTGAGAATTTTAAAAAAGAACTTCTTGCAACACTGAGTTCCAGTCAACTAATATTTCAGTCAATGTTGGTTTTTGCTTGAAGAGTTCATAACAAATGATGCGATGCTGATGGCAAAATGATGAAGATGATGGAGACGATAAAGATGATGAAGATGATGATGATGAGGATGATGAATATATAGGATGTGCATTTGATAACAGTCCAACACAGCATGCGTATTTAATTGTTGCAAATGTCCGTCATCATAGAACAAAGACTTATTGGCCTGGCCTAGCGTCCACGTAAGCATAATGATAAAAATTTTCTAACTTACGAGGGCTCTTTTATGCGTTTTGTATCCGTGTGTATGTTTTTGTGTGTGATTGTGTATGAGTTTCCGTACGTGTGTGTGTGTGTGTGTGTGTGTGTGGTGTGTGTGTGTGTGGTGTGTGTGTGTGGTATGTCTGAATGTATAAGCATGTTTATTATTCAAAACATGCACGGAAGTATAAAATTTTTTTGTTTCCTTGTTTTTGCCGAAATATTTCACGATTGAGAAACATCCGAGTAAATTCGTTTACAACGAACATCTCATTTCACATCGATATAAGCGAGTGACTACGTAATAAAGGGGTTCTTATCACGCAGATATTTGGATGTAAATATACGACCAAGTTGTTTGTCCACCTAATTTGCAGATATTGGAGCATTGTTTGACGGCGGTAGTAAATCACTATATAGGGTTGGTTGGACGAGTTGATTACCGACATGACTTGATCTGCTTCTTAATTTCTACATCTGCTTTGTTACACGTGTGTGTATGTGCGTGTGTGTTTGTGTGTGTGTGTGTTTGTGTGTGTTTGTGTGTGTGTGTGTGTATGGTGGTTTTTAGTTTGTCAACGTATTAACGTATTATCTATTATATAC